ACTATTAAATTTGAACATTTCCTACCAAAATAAAACTGCCCAATTTATACCATAAGTTCGAACATTTTTTAATAACAACAAATTTCTTATCAAAAATAAAAATCGTCATCTGGTATCTCAAATAAAATCTCCTAGTTTATATCAAATCCGATTTATTAATTTTGTCAACTTTATACCATAAATTGATTAATTTTGTCAACTTTATACTATTAAATTTGAACATTTGGATACAATCTTCGTTATGTATCTTGATTAATTGGATCGTTTCTTTGTGGATTGAAGGATGTCGATAGTCTTATTGAATTGAATGTTGGAAGGCTTTACTCGTTAGACGGAGACCCAGTACTATTGCAGTCGGAGATGGTGTCGTCGTATCGGAATCAGAGTTAGACGCGGCTAAGACGAGTTGCTACACAGTGGTCGACGGCGAGACTCAAGTGTGTATAGTCTACAGGGCGTGGCCAGAAAAGTACTTGACAGGATCGAGTGTAGTTGTGGCTATGGTACAAGAGAGTTGAGTTTTGATTATAAAATATATGACAATGATAATTTCTACTTTTTATTGTATGTAGTAGAATAGGAAATAATAATAATAATAATAATAATAATAATAATAATAATAATAATAATAATAATAATAATAATAATAATAATAATAATAATCCTTATATATAATTCCCGAATGCGCTGAGCCTACGTGGTTGCTTTTGGTGCTTCGGAATCCTATTTGGCGAATATTCATGCTTCGTAATTAGGTTTGCATAAATAATATTGATATATTAATAATTAATAATCTAGGTACGGGTATTCCATAAATATTATTTAGCTAACATAGGTATTTTAATATCACTTTTACTAATATAACCCTTTAATTTTTTGTAATTTTACATAGTGAGGCACTAAGTGACTAATATATCCCTGAATTTTAATTTGTTTCCTTCAATAAGCTATTGAATTATAAATGTATTTTAAAGTTGATAACTTTTGTATTTCTTATTAGTTTTACATACATAATATATCAAATTAATCATCTTTTGATGATCTTCGACTTGACATCCATATTGTATATATGAAATAAATAAATTATATTTATCTTTATAATAATAAAAAATAATAATATTTATTAAAATTCATTAGGAAAATAAAATTATTTGTCAATTGATATATTTATATGCAATGTAGTTATATATTGTAAGTTAAAAAAATTAGTATAATATAACACAAGTAAGTTGCACAAATAAAAATGGTCATACTAAATATATAATAATATATATATTCTTGTAAAAGATATTTAAATTTTCAAACTACTTTTTCTCATTAATTTTAGATTTTAAGAAAAACATTAGCAAGCACCCGTGTAATACACGGGTGTTGTACTAGTAACAATAAGATGACAAAATATTCTAGACCTATCATTTTGTTTTGCACGGGATGACTTTTGGAATTTGTTACTTGGATTTGTCCATATCATTCAAGACTTGAATATATTTATATATCACATATGTAAAATTAAACTCAATACACTGTGGATGCTCTAATCGTGCATAAGTATCTACAAATTTTCTTAGGTTACCTCCTATGAATTAGATACATGATTTAACATAAATTACTTTCTATTAAAGAAAAGAAAAATGCTACATGTACATAGTAAATGTACATAAAAATGTACATAACACTCACATAGAATGGAGTCCACTTGATTTTTTAATTTTAGTGAGTCCCACTCAATGTGAGTGTTATGTACACCTCTATGTACAACATTATGTACTTGATGGAGACGAGACCGCGATAGCGTTTTTAAATAAATATGATCGTCTTCGTATTTAGTTTGTTTCATTTATTATTATTAGTTTTCTTTATTATTGGGCTCTTTTTATTATTATTATTAGTTTTGGGCCTTTTTTGTTATTGGCTGAACTTTTAAGATTAGGGATTTCTGATGTATTTAAAG